TAATATGTCCCAGGCCTAACAAAAACTACAAAACATTCAAGGTAATTACATGATCCTTTCCCAGTCCTTATGAAAAATGACCTTAGCGTAAGACAGATAAAAATCTAGAGGGTCTGGAGAGACGGTGCAGAGGTCAAGAGCTCACAGCGTTCTGCAGTGGATAGAATTCTGTTCCCAGCACCCTTTTGGAGCTGTTTGTGATAGCCTGCAGTTCCAGCTCCAGGGGCCTGGATTATGCCCAATTATGGCCTCTGTGGGCACCGCACTTACATGTACAAACCCACACTTGCATGCACACATACAAATACATTAAAAATAATTTTTAAAATAAAAGACCTAGAATTTGGCCTTAAAAGCGGTCAGAAGACAATATTGCTTTTAGTTTAGAGATCTGGGTTGCTTCTTTGTGTTCCAGAATCTGACAACTCATAATTCTATAAACTACAGCAAGTTTTTCAGTGAACCAAGTACTGGAGGATGCTTTTAAGAAATTTAATTTATTCACTTTATATCCCAATAGTAGCCCCTCCCTCCTCTCCTCCCACTCCCTTCTTCGTCCCCCTATCCCTCCTCCCCTACCCCTCAGATAAGGGGAGCCCCACCCATCTACCCACCCACCCCAGCACATCAAGTCCCATCAGGACTGACTGTATCCTCTTCCCTTGTGGCTGGGCAAGGCAGCTCTACCAGGGGAAGTGATTGAAAAGTGGGCAACAAAGTCCTTGTCGGAGATAGCCCCTGCTCCCCTTACTAGGGAACAGACATGAAGACTGCCCATTGGGTACATATGTGTACGTGGCCTAGGTCCAGGCCATGCATGGTCCTTGGTTGGTGCTTTGGTCTCTGCAAGCCCCCCTGGGCCCAGGTTAGTTGGCTCTGTTGGTGTTCTTGTGGAGCTCCTGTCCTCACTGGGTCCTTCTATCCTCCCCCTTCCTTTTCCACAAGGCTCCCTGCGCTTTACCCAATGTTTGGCTGTGGATCTCAGCATCTGTTTTGATCCACTGCTGGGTGGAGCCTCTCAGAGGACAGCTATGCTAGGCTCCTGTTTGCAAGCATAGAAGAGTGTCCTTAATAGTGTCAGGGGTTGGCTGTCTCCCATGGGGTGGGTCTCAGGTTGGGCCAGGCATTGGCTGGACCTTCCCTCAGTCTCTGTCTTTATCCCTGCACATCTTGTAGGCAGGGTAGATTTGGGGTTGAAGTTTTTGTGGGTGGGTTGGTGTTCCCCTCCTCTTCCAGGAGTCTTGTCTGGTTAGAGGGTGTCCTCTTCGGTCTCCATGACCCCTGCTACTAGGAGTTCAGCTAGAGTCACCCCCATATCTTCCCAGGAGCCTATAGTAGGTCTCCATCTTGTCTCAGCAATGCCCCCACAAGCCCTCTGTCCTCCCTCCTCTGCCCTTCTCACATATCATCCCCAGCCTCCTTTCCCTCCGCACTCTGGAGGATATTTTATATAGACACAGTGAGCATGTGGCTGAAGGAAACAGAAAGAAGGCAACGAGTGACTTTGGGCACAGTGTTATCCCTCTTGGAAGGCTGGGCCAGGAGACAGGACAACAGGATAAAATCAGTTTCCTGCCAGATCCTTCGAGTGTGTGTGAGGCCTGTGACAGAAGGCAGAAGGCAGTTAAATTTCACCACAACCGAAACCGGTCTGGGAAATCTGGCCATTAAGCCCTCTCTCCTGGTTTCTCAGAAAAATGAAGAGCTCCATCTCAGCTTCTGAGTAGGAGCTGTTGCTGGTCAGCTGCATAGTCTCCTTTGCCTGACTCACCAGAGTCTCTGCTCTCTCTGACGTGGGTGGCAATGGCTGCCGGGAAAAGCCAACGCAAACTGCCGGAAGTAGTCGTGTCTGGGGCCACACCTTTGGGAGCCAGTGCAAGCCAGCACAAGCACCCATAACCGCTGTGTCTGTGGGCTAAAGGCCTAATGACCTCAAAGCCAGTGGGCTGAGAAACTCTGTAAGCTGACAGAAAGACAGCATCTTCTGCAGGAAGCTGGGACCCAGTGAACTCTTGGTAAAAACTAAGAGTTCTTACCTCCGTGGGCATTTACAACCTGGAGACTGTGGGGAACAGACCTCTCTTTTCTGCCCTAAAACTCCAAGGCCCTCACGCTTAGCAGTCTCCACACCCCAGGAGACGACTCTGCTCTTCACTGTGCTGAGAAAAGGCAGCCTGCTTCTGCAGGGGCTGGTCCTTATGCTCCCACAGCTTTGGTCAACCCTTACCATCACTCCGTCAATTTAACGCCGGCCTGGTAAGCCTGCTCGGAAAGCCTCCTCTGTTTGTGGTCCTCATCCTCTTCTAGAAGTAGCTGTCACTGCAACCTTGCTCTGAGCCGGGGACAGCCAGGTAGGGTCTTCAGTAGCTGTGCCGAGGACACTGAAGATGAAGTCAGAGAAGGGCAACCCAAAGAGAGGAGAGCATGGCCCACCTCCATCCTTTCTGGACTCCCCAAAGCATGGTCACAAGGGAAAGGGGTTGTGTCAACGTGAAATTTAATATTTGCTCAGCCTGGAGACACGGACTGTGACGTCGCTGAACCTCAGGACCCCGTGTGGACATGAAAGCATCTCCCTCCTCACAGAGCAGATATGAAAACCAAATAAAGTGACGTTTGCAAAGCCACAGCTCAGAGTAGGAAATCAGTTACAGGAACTGCTAAAAATGGTTTTAAAATTATCATTTCAACAAGTTGAGGGCAGTGGCTATGGAATTCCAGGAAGGCCCAGGCTAGGCAGGGAGAAGCTTTCTCCAAAAAAAAAAAAAGAAAAAAAAGAAAAAGAAAAAGAAAAAAAGAAAGAAAGGAAAGAAAAGGAAGTGTCGCCATGGAAGTGTCCCCCACGAGCAGAACAACCTCCATCTGGATGTATTTAAAGGGACAGCTTGGAGTGTCTCCACCGAGGACCAGTCACTGAGAGTGAAGTTCCCATGTCAGCCACCAGGAGGCGCAGCGAGTCTTTGCCGCTGACGTCCTAGCAGAGCTCCAGGCTTGGAACCCCGGAGGTTTATTTCGAAGCGGCCGCCGCCGCCGCCGGGAGAGTAAGAAGCCACTGTAAGAGATGGAGCAGGTAAAGGGCCGTCAAAGCTAGAGGCGAAATCATCCCTTCCCAAGTACTTCCTGCACTTGTCCATCCGACAGTAGACAAATGGCGTCTGTGGGATGTGAAAGGGAGGGACGCCACGGCACAGCCAGTTCTTTAACCCTCACGAGGAGCCAAGCGGGCTTGGGAGCGATCCAGTTCTACGCTACGTGGGAAGAGACTGAGGTCCGAACTCAGCCCTCACGCTTGGAAGGAGGGGAAGCCATGAGCCAAGTCAACTCCATCTCCAGGCCCACCTTCACCTTCTAGGCCGGGGGGGAGACACTGCTTTACAGACCAGGGTAGCGGGTCCAGGGAGCTGAGAGGAGGAGGTTTTGGCGGAGGACAGCACCTAGGGGAAGCACAAACAGGCGAGAGGATCTAGACAGCGCTTCCGGCCTGTGCAGTCCGGACCACACCGGTAACAGGCGCACTGAAGGCCACGTGCCACATTATTTCCTCACCGAAGGAAACGTAGTGTCCCACCAGTTGAAACTGGTCCCTCCGATCCCTCTTCTGCATTAGTTCCTTTTGTGTGGCTGTGACCACAGCATCTGGTGAGAACACCTCACTGGAGGAAAGATCAGTGGTAGCTCACAGTTTCCGCTCATGGTGATGAAGTCACAGCGGAGCCGTCTGCTCCGGGTGTGGAGTCCAGGCTGTTCTCATTCCAGCCGAGCAAGAAGCAGGGGCCAGGCAGGGGTGACCGTCACAGGCCCCTCGAGTGACTGGGACTAATGCAGCCCCTCCCCCTAAGTTTCAGTGCCTTGGTAAACTGCACCAACAGCTGGAGCCCCCCAGAGCCTGGGGAGACATTTCCTGTAAAACTGCCACAGCCCGAAGCCTGAATCAGAAGCCGGATTCGTCAGTGCCCTGGTTTCAGCATGCTGGCACGGCACACATGAAACAGGACCTTGTCCTAGCCCTGGCCTGTAGGGGTGACAGTTGTATTAAGAACTGTAAACATGCCAGGTGCTGGTGGCAGCGGTGCCACACACCTTTAGTTCCAGCACTCCGTGAGGCAGAGACAAGCTGATCTCTGTGAGTCTGAGGCCAGCCTGGTCTACAGAGTAAATTCCAGGACAGCCAGGGCTACACAGAAGAAACCTGTCTTGAAAAAATCCAAAGGAAACAAAACAAAAAGCAGTAACTACAGGGACTGAGAGATGTCTCCGTCTGTGTAGAGCTTCGCACACAAACATGAGGGCGTGGATTCAGATCTCCAGGCTCCTGTTAACAGCGGGCCACGGTGGCACACTGCCCGGAATCCCGGCACTGGGAAACAGAGACAGGCAGCCTCCTGGAGCTCAGTGGGCGACCGGTGCAGCCAAATCCCACAAGAGACCTTGTCTTTGAAGACAAAAGTAGAGGGGGCTGGGGTCATGGAGGAGGGTGGGTCATGGAGGGGGCTGGGGTCATGGCTCAGCCTGTAAAAGCACTTGTGCTGTAAACATAATGACTTGAGCTCAAGTCCCCAGCACTCATGTAAAAATCCTGGCACGGCTCTGCTCGGAGTCACACCTGCAACCCCGTTTCTGTAGAGGACCAAACATCACTGGGTGCCAGTCTAGCTGCGCTTCACCGAGACCACGACTCAGAGGAACAGGGTGAAGATAGAATGAGCATGTGATGTTCTCCTTTGACCCCTCTGTGCGCGCATACACACACATAAACACACACACACATTTAAAGACTTTAGGTGGAGAGCACTTGCGGACAGCCGAGCTAGACCCCGGTCCTACACAAGCACAGGCAGGCATGCACAGCTGTATGTTGCATGTGGGTACACATACTCGTGTCTACAGATAGTGTGTGCATACACACACACACACACACACACACACACACACACACACACACACAATTAAAGCAACAAAATCTGTGGCTACTTCAAGACTGGAAAGCCAAAAGTGTGGCTACAACTGTTTTTCTTTTTATTTATATATTTTTATTCTTTGACAATTTAGTGTGCATTTACAAAGAAATATCGCCATCCCCCCATCCCAGTTTCCCTTCGTCCCCCCTGGGGTTCCCACCCTCACGTCTACCTCCATTTCATGCCCTCTTCTCGTCTCCTTGTTTAATTAAAACAAAATCCCACTAACCCCGGTTAATGCTGCCTGTGTATGCTCGGCTGTGGGTGCAAGCGGGAGCCATGCGCCCAAGAAGAGCGGTTCTCCCTCCTCCGCAGTCAACTGCCCTCGGAGCATCGGGGCCCATCCTGTTCCTACCGCAGATGGGCTGGAGTCGACGACAGCATTTCTAAGTCATCAAACAAATTCCATACACCCCAGAGCCTCCTGGAGATGTGGCGGCCATGATGGACGGCGAGCCTTGTGAGTTCCAGCCGCTCTGAAGGATCGCTGCAGCCCGAGGGTCCGAGATCCGCCTGGGCAGGACAGCAAGGCCAGTCTCTGCTGAACCTCAGAAGCCACGCTCTTTCTGTTGGATGCTTTTCATGAGGCGAGTTGTAGTAGCCTCCGCTTTCTTAGGAACCTAATAATGCTGATTCGTAACAGCACACACACACACAAAAAAAAAACGGCGCCGTAGACCCATGCCACTACAGTTAGGAATGTGCAGTCAAGCACAGAAGCTGGACTAGGAACGGACAAAACAGGCACACCTGGCGTGAGGACGGACTTTGTCCTCCACATGTATCGCATGGGACAGACAAACCACAATTAAGACTCCTGTACTGCCACAACCAAACGAGAACCAGTAAGTTATCCTGGAGAAGTTTACCATCAACAAATACATCACTGCCACAGCTGTGCCACTGAAAACGAAACACGGGCTTCTGGGAACAATTTCAGGAACACACTTCAATCCTAAAACAGCAGTCGCTAGGAGTCAAGATACACCAAGGCAGGTGCACACCAGGGCACTCACGGCTGCCAGCTCTGTGGTCATGGGAGACCGTGACAAATACATGGGGTCTGGGTGTACTTTACACATCTCATTAGCAGAGAGCAAAGACTCCCCTGATATTCAGAGGACAATTACCAGGAACACAGTAAGAAGACCTTATTTACAGACCCAGTTAGTTATACTCAACATGTGAATGTCAAAACTTGAATACTCAAGGACCTCCATCTCTTCTCAACATCCCATGGAAAATCTGTACAGCGCACCCACACGCCCATCAGGTTTCTTTTCCCCAGTCTGGGGTCATGCCCAGTGCTTCACGTGAGCTAAGGGGGTGCTCTCCTGAGCTGTCCCTCAGGCCCTGCCAGGTTCTTAGTCATTTGTGTTCAGCATTAAATTGAACACACTTAGAAAGCATTTAAAACAAGCGTTGCATGGTTCCTGCAGATGTGTGAATTGGTTACTGACAAAAGAAAGGGCTTTTGATAGATAGCGCAATTCTTCATTTTGTTGGGGACTCAAAAGCAAGAGAGCATAAATGACTTAGCTACGTGAGCCTTTCCACTAAAGCCTTCCCTGTGCGGCCACGCAGATGCTGAGACAGTTGTAGGTGCAGTTTTAGGAGTAGCAGGAGAGCCTGTGTTCGTTTTACCCCGTTTCCAATTCAATATTGATTTAGGTCAAGATACTGGTGCTGCTGCCACCTTAAGAATCCATCATTATCCTCTTACAGTTATGCTCACTGGTCTCATTCTGCAGCCTCCTTCCTGAAAACCCACAATCCAGTCTTCACACTTAAACTTCACATTCAGAAGACTCCACGAGTGGACGTATGTAATGTGAACACTCTTATGGCTTGCTTTAATCATCTAGCGTAATTTTCACTCGAGCTGCTGCTGGGGGTCAATATAGCTCTTTTACATCGCTGCGTAGTATTCTATGGCATAGGTATACCACAAGTTGTCCTACCAGCCCCTAGTTGGTTCTGAGAGAGAGGGTGTGTGTGTTTTGAGACAGCGTCTCTCTACGTAGCCCTGGCTGTCTGAAACTTGTTAAGTAGACCAGGCTGGCCTTGATTTCAGAGATCTTCCTGCTTCTGCCTCCTGAGATTTTGAATTAAAGATGCCTCCAACATGCCCAGCGGATTCCAGCTTTCTAATGCTGAGGACAGTTTGCATGTTTTTAATTGTGTGTGTGTGCACGTTATGCCGCAGTGTGCCTAAGGAGCACAGAGCTCTGGGAAGTCAGTTCCCTCTTCCCACCACTTTAGGTGGGTTTTGGGAATGGAACTCAGGTCGTCACAGCTGCTTGGTAGTGCCTTCACCACCAAGCTGGACGAACCGTCTGCTGGCCCCATCACATGCGAACATGAGTGTTCATTCCTCTGGGACCAGTGTCTGGTTTCTGGTTGGTAGGCAGTTGGATAGTGTTTTAGGAAACAGCCAAGTGGCTTTCCAGTGGCTGTTCTGTTTTAAGCTCCCAGCCACAGTACGTGACTATCTGCCTCCTTCCTACCTGGCTGTCATTTGTATACATTCCCGAAGCTGGAACTTTGCCAGACTTGTCTGCAGACATTCTGTCACCATCATGTGTCTTTTCATCCTCCTAACAGAGTCCTTTGCATAGGCAAACGTTTACATTTTAATGAGGTCTAATTCATCAAAAACATCCTGCTGAGCTCTTGTTCCAAAGGGTTTCTAGTTCTCTCTGTAGCATTATAGTTCCACATTGGTGTTTACAAACATGAGCTCTTCTGACTTAGTTTTTCTGGAAGGTCTGTCATTAACCTAGGGTTTACATGCCCCGTGACATTTGTTAAATGTCATTGCTGACTTTTAAAAAGTAGATAATTTGTAATTTTCTGTGTAGTCATGTTATTGTAAATAGGATACTTTGAGGATTTTCCTTCCAATTTGTACACATTTCATTTCTTTTTTTGTGTCTTATTGCTATGTCTAAAACTTCCAATTCAGTCCTACAAATTATACTTCGATGTAAATTCTTGGTGATTTGCTAAAACACGTCTGCCTGAACAGGGTCCATCTGACTGAAGCCCATTAGCTTTCTATATTGTTCTTGCTGTCCAGCCTTTTCAGATTTCATTTCTTGTAATTTTGCTAACTAGCTGATAGGCGTCTTTAGTGCTTCTAATTGGAACCTGCTCTTTAAAGCCTCTGAATCATCAGGGATGCTTAAGGAGCTAAATAATAACCACAGCCAAAGAATCAGCAAGATGTGCCGGGAGGCAGTGACGTGTCTGAGGTGGGCTTCCAGAGCACCTTTAATGGTGGCTTGTTCTTCCAGCCCCCACCTTCGTCAGAATTGGGCGTAGCAATGATTTTAACCTCTAGAAACGGGAACTACCTCTAGCAGAGCTGGTCTACAACTGTGTATTAGAGATAATGATTGTCGGGAACTCTGGTGAATTGGCTGTGTCAAGTGAAATAACCTGTGCAGCTAACGAGACAGTTGGTACAAAGCACTTAGATATGTTCGGACAACACAAATCCTGCTGGTGTCTTACTCCGTTAAGCAAAACTACTTTAGAATGTGTGTGTTTTCCACATGTGATGTGTTTTCATGTTACGCAACGTACCTGGTCCACTGAAGAGAGCTTCTGCCCATCGTGGAAAGACAGAAAAGTTGGCCTTGGTGGTGGGTGCTTTGGTCCACTCAAGCCTCAGCTATGTGGTTTCAGTCCAGCATCTTCCAAATGCCAGCAACTGTTGTCAACGGTTTGCCAATGCTCCCTGCCCTGGCACTCCCAGCAGTGACAGATGACCTCCAGGCAAACGGGTCACTTCTCCTTCAATCACAGTCCTCGCTTGAGGCCCACCTGTGCATTTCAGTAAGTCTTTCATTTTTAAAACTGGACACCTCGGAGGGAGCACACCACTTGTCACCTGCAGCGTGTCGGGACTCTGAGCCCTCCTTGAGCCCCAGGCTTCCGTCAGGACAGGGACACTAGGACATGCAAGCCACCGAGGAGGGCTCAGGTGAGGTGACTTGTGTCGAGGGTTGGGCCCCAGGCCGGCCATGAGAACCCCGTCTCTCGCACGTCACCCTTGCTCTCCCCATTGCACTCTTGCACGGTGCGCTGGGTCATGTGGAAGGAGGTGCTTCTTATTTTGAACACCCCATCTCCTGAGGGGTAGAGGGGGGTGCTTTCTACCAGAAATGTTAACGGCGGGAATCTGGAAGGCCCAATGCCAAAGCGGCTCCGTTCTTGCTAACGTGCTGCTGTAGTCTGCGCGCACAGAAGGGGCTGTGTACAGAGCTGCATGCTCGTGCCTGCCACACTACGGGGACGGAGGGGGCTGCCCAGGTGACCAGGACATCCTAGAAACATGTCTGCCATTCAGTGACATACCGAATAACCTCCAGACAAGAAGCCGTCCACCCTGCCCTGAGCCCACAGCAGTGCCGTGTGATGCGCTGCCAGCTCTTTTCGTGCAGCGGGCTTCCATCCAAGGCACTGCTTGTGGACATAAGCAACACAACATTCTCATGATACAAGGCGACAGCATGGTACATACAGGCATCATTTTTTTTTTTTTTTAAAGAACAGAGTAGCAACCACCGCTTCCATTTTGACAACCATGACTTCCAAATGGGTGTGTCTGGACTGAGCAGAGTGTAAACAAAAACTTTCTACGTGAAGCGCCTGTGTGGACGGTGTCTCTGCAAAGGGACCGCCCCGATGAACCTGAAGGCTAGCCCAGGGTTCCCTGTTCACCCTCTGTCGTTCTGCTGTAGGAGGACGGGGCATGAGGCGCCCTTCACAGACGTCAGTCAGGCAGAGACTGGTGGCTTCTTCGCTTCATTTTCGTGCGAACCTGGGACTTCCATGTGACCATCAGGCCTTTCTGGGGGCGGCTTGGAAGTATTCCTCGAGCGGGATGTCGGACACGCCTCCGTACCATTTCTGAAGCCAGATGTGCTCTACCCACATCTTCATGAAGAACCATTCATACTGGCGGGGCCACTTCCTCATGCCGGGATGCCTGTGGGAGCAAGGCAGGAGCACAGTGAACCTTCAGTCCTCCGTGGGCACACCTCAGCCAGTCTCGGGTGACCCCGAATCAGTCCTCAGTGGGCGCACCTCAGCCAGTCCCAGGAGACCTCCCCTCCCCATCTAGGCCTACTTTGAGCTGAGAGTTGCTCAACCCGGCCAGAGGGAGAAGCTGATGAGCTAGGGGGTAGGGCTGGGGCTTGCCTTAGGAAGGCAGGACACCGTCGTCTCTCCGTCTCTCCGCAGAGCGGCTGAGAGCTGAGTTCTGGGGCCAGGCTCTGAGGTGTGAAGCCCATCTGCATTGCTGATGAGCTCAGAGGCACCTATGACTGGCTCCTCCCCATTCAGTTCTAGCTAGTGCTTGGCACATGTGTGTGATCGCTAGTGGGAGACACCAAGAAGGACCACGGACCATGTGGGTTTCTGTACAAACAGCAACAAGATGGCGAGCCCGGGAAATGGGATTCCTCCAGAGGAGATTTCCAGTCCCTCGGGAAGCTGAAAGCCAGGCAGCAGGGACAGACAGCGATACACCTGCCTTCTAAACACACTGGAATATCTTTGGAGGCTGAGGCTACAGTTGATCTGTTTTGTCAAATTTTATAAAGATAAAAATCTCCTCCACCTCTAAAGACGTTATAAACACAAGCCAAGGACCAACAGCAAACTAGAAGAAGCTCTGTAGCCAAACAAATGCCATCTCGGTCTCCGTAGAGATCCCTGAGCATGTCCTCGGCCCAGACAGGGCTAGGAAAGCCCAGGTGCTCTCGTCGCAAAGCATGTGTGCTGCTTGGCCTCTGTCAGCTTGACACAAGCCAGGGTCATCGGGGACAGGGAAACCTCAATGGAGAAAACGCCTCATCAGACTGGCCTACGGACAATTCTTGACCAATGATGTGGAAGGGTCCAGTCCAGGGTGGACAGGGCCGCCCCTAGGCAGCTCGGCCCTAAGGTGTGAGTGTAAGAGGGCAAACCGAGCAAGCCAGAAGAGCAGAGCAGCAACTGGCATCCCTCCACGATCTCCGACATCCATTTATTCATGTCGACTTTGGGGAAAAACCATTTGATTTTGTATGATAAGGTCTCACTATGTAGCCCAGGCTGCCCTTGGATTCACTATGTAGCCCAGGCTGGCTTCACAACTCTGAATCTTTCTGTCTCAGCCTTATAAATGCTGGGGCTCTAGGCCTGAGCAGCCACACCTGGCCTCAGGGCGATCCATTTTAAAGCGCCCTCATACCTTGAAAACATGGCCTGCTTGGCAAACTCCACCTCCCCTGGCGGCACGGTGATCATTCGGCCAGTGAGCGTTAACCGGGCACAGCGGGGGTCCTCCGGGTCAACGAGGTTTTTCCTGTACAGGAAGAACACTGTTCATGTGTGAAGGCGGCGCTGGCCCGAGAGCCCGGGACACCACTTCCTCAAACACAGCAGTCACAGCGTTGACTGTGAACCCTCGATTGTTACATTGTCTGTAACCTCTCTCAGATGTTTTGTCACGGGCAGTGTGGGGTTCTTGTTTACACTGGGTGCCACCAGGGTAGCTAGAGGATGGCTGACGTCCTCTAGGCTGGGGGCTCGTGCTATGGGAACGGCGATTTGTCACTGTCACTGTGGTGCTAAGGACTTGGTCCCCAGCTCGGCGATACCAGGAGATGATGGCAGTATGAAGAGATGAGGAGGGGACCTAAGGTCACAGGGCAGCGCTCCCTCTCACTATTGGCTGACAGCCCATGGTGTGTCTCAGGGAACCCACAACCAGAAAATTCCTGAACTGCTGTCTGTGCACAAATGTGGAGAGTTTAACTTGGGCCTTTGAGTCACATAAGGCTGCTGGGTCGAGTAAAGCTGAATAAACACATGGGACGCTGTCCTACCCTGACGCTGCCCTACCCTTACAGCGTTTGTTGTTGTAGGGGTCAGCCGTGAGCCTTGTGGAGGTGTGGAAAAGACCAGCCTGAAGCCAGGTGGCGGCTGAGGAAGAGGTGGCGACGCCTTTAATCCCACCATCAGGAGGCAGAGGCAGAGGCAGAGGCAGGCGGGTCTCTGAGTTCGAGGCCAGCCTGGTCTACAGAGTGAGTTCCAGGACAGCCAGGGCTACACAGAGAAACCCTGTTTAGGGAGGAAAAAAATCAGCCTGACATACCCAAAAGCAAGGAATGAAGGGGTTAAAGAAAGCAAACCCGGTTCTATTTGTGTATAAAACAGAGCCGCAGCAGAGCTTGAGCCACTCTCAAGTTCAGGGCTTGGAAGCTGGTCCTATTAGGGTGGTACTGAATTTTGTCACTTCACTGGAATGTCCAGGTTAGAAGGGAAAACTCGTCGCTCTGGCATTTCTCAGGCCTCGAAAGGCATTGTTAGAGTCCAGAAAAGTGTTTCTCTGGGAAGATTCAGTTCCAGACAGTGTCTGTGTGGCTGTCCAGAGCAAACCTCTAAGGCTCAGGGAAGTGACGTTCATCTCTTCCCCATTGCGTGTGTGTCTGTCTTCCTCTTCACTGCTCTCCCTCTGTCTATTCTGTCCAATCTTGTCAGACTGTAAAGGTTCATAATCTTTGCCCTTTCCTTCCTTCCCTCCTTCCCTCCTTCCTTCCTTCCTCCCTCCCTCCTCCCTCCCTCCCCCTCCCTCCCTCCTTCCCTCCGTCCTCCCTCCCTCCCTCCCTCCCTTCTTTCTTCCTTCTCTCCTCCTCCTCTTCCTATTTTCCTATTTTTTCTTTTAACAGATGGCACGAGCAATGAAGCCCTCCACACGTTAACGTCAATGCCGTTCTCTCTCTGCTTTCGGAGTTCCCTTTACTCCTGGTGTTTCACATCCAGACATGTTTTGTGCGCTGTCCCTCGCTGGCACCAGCAGCACCTTGCTCTCTGTGTGCTCAGCCAGTGCGCATCTGTCAGATGATAGCCCTGAGACTTGACGTGTCCCACTCGATTTACGCTGAGGATGCACTCCTCTTGACGGCGGGCAGATCCACCCTGTTACCCTTGCTTTGCCTGTGGCAGTCTACGGTAAAAATGTTTATTGAACGCCTTCTTTCATTCTACTCTAGTTGCCCCATTTCCATTCTAGCTCGGTCGTAACTGATTCGGCCATGGTCTCTGCCGTGTGTGACACCCTGGCTTACATCTGAGAACTGCCAGTGGTTGGCATGACCTCTTTGGCTTTGAGGAATGTTTTTTTGCAATTTATATTCTGAGCAAGAAGGGCCTTGTGTGGCTCGGAGGTTAAGAGCACTGGCTGCTCTTCCAGAGGTCCTGAGTTCAGTTCCCAGCAACCACATGGTGGCTCACAACCATCTATAGTGAGATCTGGTGCCCTCTTCTGGTGTACAGGTGTACATGCAGACAGAACACTGCATACATAATGAATGAATCTTTGAGGAAAACAAAAGGACCTTGTGGCTATCTAGTCACAGAGTAACGTTTCTCCAACTGAAAGTTTCAGTAGCGTTTTAGTTGCATCTCCTTGACTGAGGTTAAACACAGAGCATGCTTCCATGTCTACTGCCCCTTAGATTTTCTTTTGCTCATAGTTTCAGCCTGGTCTCCATATATCTGTACATTTACATGTATCGTCATGTCTCCCAAAAGAAGGCGGGGGGGGGGGGAGCAACAGAGGAAGACAACCCTTGTTCTCCTCTGCTCTCCGAGTGAGCACGCAAGGATACTTATTACAACCACACACACACATGTGCATAACACACACACACACACACACACACACACACACACACACACACACACCATATAAACTTTTCTCATAACAAAGCTGGGGTTAAAGCTATCTGCCACCACATCTGGCTCCCAACTAAATCTTTAAAAACCTAATCTTCAGGCTTCGGTGGTGTGCACTCCTTTACTGCAAGTACCTGGAATACAGGTACAAGCTGATCTCTGTGAGTTCAAGGCCAACCTGTTCTACTCAGGCAGATCCAAACTATCCAGGGCTACTCAGGGAGACCCTGTCTCAAAAAAAAAAAAAAAATCCATCCTTTGAGGGTGTGACAACTAAATCAAGCAAATAAAGACACACAATACCAATGTTTATGATGTCATACCAACATGTGGCTAGCTATGTGAATAGACTTCCTTTTTTCGCTCACAGCTCTGCAAAGCCAGATGGGCAGCTAAGAATTGTGGGTGCAGCTTGCTAACGACTTATTTTGGACGTCTGTGTGAACTATTTTGATGTGTAATTTCTATTCTCTTGACGGTCTAGCTGATTTTACGTTTGTATTCACTCTGGCAGATGGCCCCCAAGGAACCGCCTGCCAACGTTGTCATCTCCTGGCTCTGCGCTCATGCACACATATGAAGTATGACTCATACTGCACACAAGTCACTTCTAACTGGGTTTAACTATTTAAACATGCAAAGAAGAACGCCAGTGGCTTGGCAGGAAGCTCACATCGCATACTTAACCTTTTGGCCATTAGCAAGTCTCACCAACTGCAGTAAGCCAGGACTGAGGCTTATGCAATGGTGGACAAGCAGCGGATGGCATCCCTAGCACCCTAACTGCACTTGGCCGAGCAGACAAGAGGCCGATGACCTGCCCATACTCACAGCAGCAGGAGTCAATGGGGAACAGAGACAGGTAAAAGGTGCCAGCTTTGAGTTCTACTCCCGCCCATACAGGGACAGTAATTTTAGAAACAGAAACAACCAAAATGGCACCATGCTAGCCCAGATACAACCAGGGTTGTCACTGGAGGGTGAACGGTAGCCCATGTGACTGTGAACACGGACTGTCCCAGGCCAGGAATCAGAAACCAGGTCTTCTGGGAGAGCGGCCTGTCAGTGCTCCCAACTGCTGAGCCCAATCTCCAGCCCCAAAATCTAAGTTTTAGAGGCCTCCTTGCATCACTTACGCTAGCCGCAGGTTGTTGTGGTGGTAGAGACCGAATTACGGGGAAATAAGTGACAACAGTGTGAGCAGGTATCAGTCTACGCAAAATACTGACAGCATAGGTTTATTGAAATCCAGATTTAGTGGAGACCGGCTGTGTTACAAAGCTTCTTCCAGGAACCCCAGGGCACATGGAAAAATAGGTTTTATATTTTTACAGTCGTTAATAGGCTCAATCATGGTGTCCTGGGTCTCATCACCAGGAAAATGACAACAGAGATGCAGGCCTCTGCCAACTCCACTCACATCAGACCACGGCTGGATTTTGTGGGACAGGAGGACTGGTTCCAACCTCCTAACCTAGTCAGTCGGCTGGTTAGCCAGGTGTAACTACTTCTCGTGGGTTATTATATCCATCTGATGTAGCAATGTACCAAGACCAGCAGAAGTGCTGTCAGCAGAGCAGTAACGTGGAGGGCTTGGTTTGTTCGAACCCAGCGTAACCTAAGAACCGCCCATCTTCAGGAGGACTGGCCCTTCGCCGCCCCTGGGTGGCCGCTCTGGTCCCTGACTGCCCTGACTGGTTCTGCGCGTCTGAGGGCCTTGGCCACATCATTTGGTCCCTTGGGAGATTTGAAGTCTAAGATGCAGCCACCATGGTGTGCACAGGACCAGGTTATGCTGACACCAAGATTACCCAGGTCCAGAGGCTTGGCTGGCCACACTTTTCAACATTTCTAGGCATCAATGCTTACGAAACTGAATTTGCCCCATGCAGCTCCTCGGCAGGAGGAGCTTACAGCTGCTTTCTCTTGGACTTCACGGCACACACCTTGTGCCTTTGCGAATCCCAATCTGTATTTATTTGGTGCAGTGGTCTGTGAGCCTTCGAGTCCTTTCTAGTAAGTCCTCGAGCCTGGAGAGCTGGAGCAACTCTGACATACCCAACCAAGAAGATCTCTGATGTTCCTGACAGCTCATGGCGCCACAAGACAACTGTCAGGCGTGACTCAGCCCTGCTCTTTCTCATTCACTGCATTATGCTGAAGTCTTGAGAATGATGCTCAAGCCACATTCGTGTTCATCTGAGACTAAGGAACTTGTCTGTACCTGCCTGGAGCTTTTCCTTGTCATGCTGTTGAGTGCTAACAAGAGAGGGCACCCACGGCCATGCCCACGTATCCAGACAAATTGCTGCGCAAGAGAACATTGTGTTCCACCCAAAAGTGTTACCGTCCCTGGCGTTTCAACACCGCAGCAGTCTAGTTGCTGAGCTGGGAATATTTTCTTGTGGGGCACGATAAAGAGGCATTACAGAATGCAATCACAAGAAAGACGAGATCTACTCAGCACTTTGTTGAAACAAACCAACCCCGGACACACATGAGAAAATCAATACAATCAACAAACAACAAACAACTTTGTGTGCATTGCAAGTAATTAGAATTTGTCTGGGCAAGAATGTCATCAGGTTTGTTCACAATTAAAGCCAATTTCTTCAACAGAATCTC